ACGAGCGATACGAACGGACAGATCGATCGATCGTGAATAAAATGCACGGTGTGAAAATTTCATTTTTGGTGAAATTGCGGTGAACGTTTGTATTATTTTACCGATCGTTTCCGCCTGACATTAAACCACCACATGCTCGGTCATAAACGAATGTTTTATCAGCGGTCCCTCGTAATAATCGAATTACGCCTACACAATCTTATTTTTCTCTCGATTTATGAAAATGATTCGTTGACAAATATGAATAAATATCATCTTTGTATGTTTCTCTTTTCCATTTAAATGAATTTATTTAAAATTTTGATGAAAATATTTAACAAAATCTAAGGAAATAATGAACAAGATATGGCAATATGTTGCAGTATTTGCATTATGTGCAAAGAAATTATAGTTTATCTTATGTATTTAATCATATTTTATCGCTAGGATAGTCTATACGATTAGTGTGCTCTCAACATCGATAGACTCTTCATCGTGGAGGACGGTCGATAGGTGCTCGAGAATTTATCCCTTGTTGGTCGAACGATTTTGTCAAGTGGTATACAACGAATGTATTATAAGCGACACTTTTCTAATTTTCCAAAGAGAATTTATTATCGTTTATTTTCTCGTTTTGATATTTAGTTTTTATAATATTATATATTTTATAAATATATCGTTTAATAATATATTTTCCTTCTATCGTTTTAAATATCTATTATAATTAAAATTGCTGAATTATCACCAAATTAGGTTTTTAAGGATCGTTTTAAAATAAGTGATCGATTTGAAATTAGATTTAAAATTATAACGGCTTTCGATTACTTTTAATAACTTTCGATAGATGGCAGTATTGGTTCTTTTCTATTACCTTTCCTATTCTATTCTTAATCTCTTAAGCGAAGTTAAGAATTTTTGATAATCATTCGTTCGTTAATTTCTATCTTCAATCTTCAATCTATTCTTCAATAATTCATTTAAAAACTCGCCAACAATTTTCGATTTCTCGTTAAAAAAGAAAAATACATACTTTTTTTTTGAACTGTGTCACTTCTGATAAATATAACATTATAGACTCATCACAGTTAGGGCCAAAATAATTAATTAAAATTTCTATATAAAATTTCTTTAAATAACTTCATTTAAAATATTTGAATAACATTTATAGCCATTATCTTATACCTCTTCATACAACTTCGACTATAGTCCGCGGTTACTCGATTCATTGAATAATAAATTATTGAAGTAACTTATAGAAGTAACTTTATATCTGAACTTCGACCGTTCTAAATTTCGCCCATCTCTATCGAGGATAATATATCTTGTTTAAAACGAACTTAAGAATTAAGCGTTGGAGATCTAAAAAAAAAAAAAAAAAAAAAAAAAAAAAAAA